CCGCCGATGCGAGGAGGTTCGTTGGCGAACCTATGCTTCCGCGGGGAGAGGGACGCGGGCCCAGGGAGTCTTTGGATGCTTGTTTTCTCTTTTTTTTATCGTTGACCTCTCGGCGCTTCGTCTCGAGAATTTGGCAGCGCGCCCTTTTTTGAGCGCTCGGTTTGTGACACTCCTCCATTTTAAGATGCCTGCTGCGTCGCCCACTCTCCCATTGTCCTTGCTTCGCCGCGACCGCTTCTCGGGTCCACCACAAGGCGGCGCGAAGCTCTGACACTACCTGTTCAGTCAGGGTACACTTTCGTGGCAGAGGAGAAAACGCGGAAAGCCCGTACTTGCCAGCTTTATCTTTTTTTAGTTGTATCTGCGAGGTCACCTGCATAAATAATGTTCATTGTCAGCTTGAAAATGCATAAAGTGGAGGATTCAAGAATGCAACAAACAAAAACATCAGGATGACAGCAAAAAAGAGCCAGTATGATGAATTTATTCAATTCATTTTTTCATAAATACTGCAATCTTCTACAAGATCTTGGCAGTGTGGTACTATACATACATATAATTGCATAAAACAGAAAATAACACGGGAAAACAATCAATGTGTTTGCACATGAGTTTAAAAGAACAAAACAAACAGGCAAGTGACGTTATTTCAACATTCTTCAATTCAAACAGACATTATCTTAGCATCAATAAAAAAAGGGATAAAATAAGAAACACTCGAAAAACATCTCAACTAGGCAAAAAAATGCTTCCTACTGAAATACATGGTCGTGTAGGAAACAAAATTAAAATCCATTCATAAAAAAGTTAAAAAGCAGAAGCACCACTTTCATACAATGAGCACTGAACATAAAACAAACATATCAGTTTGTAGGAAAGGCACTGTTGATGAAGCAAATATGCACGCTTAAAAAAAAGCAGAGAAGCCAGATGCATCACTCCAAACAAATGATTCAAAGTTTAAGCACTTTGAGCGACAGCGGTTTTTTTAAATATAATTTGGCCACTGCATTTCGGTCAGTGATGTCCAATGCGTGGTTAGAAAGCAATGGTTTCATAAATTTTTGCATATCAATTTCACAAAACTTCTCCTGCGGCTTTCATCACATTGATAACATCACAACACAGATAAATTTGTCACAATATTGACGCTGTGCTTCATGCACTCCTCAAGAGGCTTTCGCAAAGATTTGTGGTCAGACAGCATAATATCTACATACCGCTTAAGAGCATGCAATACTCTGATAAGCTGCTGTGTAGGATAGAACAGGCCACCTCTGTCTTGGTGTGCGATCAGCCCATCCATGCGAAAGTCCCCTTTCGGCTTCTGGACTAGAGATATGCAACTGTCATACACAGTTTTTTCGCTCACTACACAAGATATGTATCTAGCGACAAGTGCAATGGTAGCCATGTGTGGAGTTGGTAGAAAGCTGCTTGTCGACATGCACAGTTCTCGAAGTGCTTGCTGAGCAAGCTTCACATTTGCAGATACCGCGAATGTGCTGCCATCCACTTGGGCAACAGTTACTGCTCGTGAAGAGCTGAGTGATGCAGAACTGCTCACGTTACTTTTTTGTGATGCTGCAATGATTCCTGTCTTCAGCATCTTCTCTACCCCACAAAGGGCACTTCGCACGTCCATGACGTCGTGACAGCCTGCCGTTCGTCTCAAAAATCCAAAACAATGATACTATTGGGTCGCTAGAAAACTTTCTTGTGAGAACAAACTGAAAGTTGCACTCGTCCAAGAAAAATCTTATGCACTCTACATTTGAGACGGATGTAAACACTAGTGCATGGTATGTTTCCTTGCATAAAAAGCTCTCCTGTAAGCTGGCCTCCTTCATGTTTTCCACATACTCCAACAAATAAGTTCAAGCCAGTGCAGCCTTACGTATTCGGGGTCAGAAAATTCTTTTGTATCAGGATTGTTTTAGTGAATGTGCTGTTGGCAGTTGCTGACATTTATCAGCACAAATCACCTGTACATGTTCGACATGATTTCCACGGTTGGACCTTCATTTGCGAACTTTAGATCACAAGTGTGGCCTGCCTGATCCTTCATGAAGTGCAAGGCAGCTGTGACCGGAGGCGAGAGCACTTGGATGGCTGTTCTCACTCCCATTTTTTCAATGTTCGTGGGAAAAATGTGCTTTCTAGTAAGAAAACAAACTGGCTTCATTGTGGAGCCTTGTTGCATCTTGTACAAGTCCTTGAGATATACAGATGAGATTTCTTTATTCCCACACATTTCGTTTGAGAGGAACTGCGACCGTACATTTTTTATTATATGGCCTTGGTCAAAAGCCAGAAACAGTTGTCTCGAAGCATCAGTTGGGTGGGGTATCCGGGTTCGCAGTTGTCTTTATGACAGAATTTCCATTGCAAGAACGTTTATCTTGTGGTTGTCTGTCACTAATCGCAGAATGCAGTATCCCACTTCTTCAGTTTATGATGAGCTTTATCGCCTCAGAAAGTAGCTCACCTGAATATCCTTTAGTATAGAAGCAGACCACAAAACAGAAAACATAAAAGGGAGTTCGCAAGCTGACTTTTTTCCGACGTGGCAAAAGGTGGTTTAGGTCAGCACATAAATTAACATCTCCCAGAAATGCATTCTTCTGCTTATTATACGGAACTTTTGTCAGATACGCATCTCATCCACGACGAGGCTGCAGTGTTTTGACTGGGGAGATGCGAGGTACTCAAGCTCAGTACTCAGCCGTGCCTTCACCAAATCACTGAATCCGACCTGACCTACTGAATTTCCCAGGTATTTCTGCAGAGTGGCTTGGCTGGGAAGGGCAAGCAGCTCCTCAGTCCTAATGTTCTCATATGGTTTTGCTGATAGGTGCCGTAATATAGTGCACTGTCTGACTGTTGCTTCAGACCATGTCGGCTTTTTTGCCTTTTAGTTGACCACTTGATCTAAGATTAGCTTGGCCGTAGTGCTTGGCAGTTCTGAGTCTTCAACAACTTGCAGAAACTTGCTTACATGGCACTCGTTTTCAGGCGATCAAGCTCTCTCTTATATCTATCTACAGTGAGGCGCAACCTTTCATGTTGTGCTTTAAAACTTTTTCTTTTTCGCGCCACTTTTTATTTTTTTTGCAAGTAGGCAGCTGACGAGTTTGGTCCGTTCGTTTGTGTGCCAAAAGACCTCATAGCGCGCGCCGTAGGCAAGAGAAGTGGCACATTGCTGGCTTCAGGCAGTTGACGATCCTCCAAGAACTCACTTGTGACGCCGGAAACGCCGCATAGCGCAGTCACTGCATCTGCTGCTGCTATTTGCGGTGCACAGGCATCCAGACAATCCACAGTCGCACTGTCCATAACCCTTGGTCACAGAACACCTACTGACTTGGTCCTGTACGGAGGTCTACATCAGGAGCGTGAGTACACGCTCTAGGTTAAGCTGTCTCTATCGGCGATAGTCTTTATCGGCGAAGCTGTCTTTATCGGCGTTTGGCGATGCTCGTGTCGCTCCGCGACCTAGGTGGTATTGGCCGGAGGTACGACGGATAGGATGAAAAAACGCAGGGCACGCTACCTTGCTTCAACATGCGCCTCTTGGTGTCTCCTCGGAAGTCGCTTTCGAGAAAGAGGAGACTGCAGACAGCAGAACAGTTGGACGTTGAATTCGGCTGCCAGTTTTTCCTCGATATCACTTTGAGCCATTAGGGAGTTTTACCCCCGTATTCTAGAACGCCCATTCACTCAACGCTCCACCTTCATTTGAGAAAGCCGATGGGATCTCTAGGCAAGGAAAGTCGCATGCATGTCAGTGATAATTTGCTGCGTCATTTTCAGCCGAGCAGCGGCGCAGTGCGCAACTCTGTCAAGTGAAGGGTGAAATTCGAGTCGAGGAGCGTTTGTGAATACGGGGGTTAGAATGCCGTTTCCAAGCGCTGCGGGCGTTGCGGGCGTAGCGGGCGCCATATGAGTTAGAATAGTGTTTGCCTTGCTGCACCGCAACGCACAATCGCACCGACACCGTAGCCTCGAAACCAGTGCTTGCGGGCCACATGCGGGCCGCAATCGCCGCACGCAATTTCGGATTTTCTGCGTATGGTCCGCGAACGCGAACGCAAATTCGCTTTACTACGCATGCGCAGTGGCAGCGACCGCACCGCAAGGGCTCGAGGTGCGCTATTCTAAAACTCCCTAATGTTCCCTCAGCGTTGTCTCCGCAGGGATCTCGTGAAACTACACGCCGGGCTGTTTCTTACGTTGGCTCGATGTACAGAAGGGCACGCAGCAATAACACATGTTTCTTAACCACGCGGCGTACAGTAAACCACAAAGCAGCACACCAGAACTTGTACACCGACAGACACGCCGAGACAGCAGCAACGCACTTCCACAGAACACCTGTACTTTATTAGCACTGGCACCGGTGCGTTTGCGGCTGGCCAATAGTGTTGGTATAGGGACTTAGGTAGTGTGAGAAGGTTGCGCCACCCTGCGGGAGCCAAGCGCGTGAAAACGAGAAAACGAGAGAGGGTTCGGTGGGCTCGCCGGCGGCCACGCAGCAGGCATCTAAAAATAGAGCCCCAAGCTTCGGTTATGGTAGCTAGTATTAAATATTTGTCTTTCCTTGAGAAGATGATGAAGAAGAAGCCATCGAAAAGAACGCGTGAACTCAAAAGAAAGAAGAGAGAGAAAGAAGAAAGCGTCCGCTATGAAGCGTTTCTAACTGCTATGTGTAAATAATGTAAATATAGTCTTGTTTCTTCAAATGCCGTGACCAGTTATTTCACAAAGTGCTGCCAAAACCCCAGGATGGGATCATCTTCTCAAGGAAAGACAAATATTCAATAGCTAGAACATACTTCGGTACAAAATGGCGCTGGCGGGACCTCTCCTGCGTGAACATCCTCGGCCTCCACTGCTGCGGACACCTCCTTCTTTTGCCTCTTTGGATTTGCTGAGTGCGCTTCGCCATTTCGTTACCGTCTGAGAGCCAAGAGCACGTGTGTTGCGTAGCTCCTGTCACCATGGCGTCGGCGGCGTCTTCAAGCGGTGTGAAAAAACGCCGTGCCTTATCGCTGGAGATTAAGGAATGCGTCATAAGGGACATTGAGAGTAGCCTGAAGAAGGCGTCGGTGGCGGCGAAATACGGCGTTTCCGACACGACCGTGTCGACCATCTACAAAAACAAGGACAAACTGCGGCAGCAACTGCAGCAAGATTCGTCTTCCCTGTCACGGAAGAGAATACGTACGTCAAAATACGAAGACGTGGACGCAGCGCTGTTCAGGTGGTTCCGCGAAGTTAGGGCTCAGAGCATCCCAGTAAGTGGCCCCATGCTCCAACAAAAGGCCAAGTGTCTCGGAGCTCTTTTAGGCCACGACGACTTCAATCCACTCAACGGGTGGATTCAGCGTTTCAAAGATCGCCATGGCATCAGCTGCAAAGTGGTGTGCAAAGAAAGTAGCACTGTCGACGACGAGTGTATCGAAGTCTGGCTTCGCTTGAACTTGGAGAGTATGCTGTCGACCTATACTGACAGAGACATTTATAATTCCGATGAAGCTGGTTTATTTTATAACCTTTTGCCCAACCGCACGCTTGCGCTGAAAGGCGAATCCTGCTCCGGCCGCAAGGTCTCAAAGGAGCGCATAACTGTATTGTTTTGCGCCAATTTGGACTGGAGCGACAAGCGCCGCCTCTTTGTCATAGGTAAATCGGCAAGACCACGTTGCTTTAAAAAGCGAGAGTGCCTGCCAGGGACCTACAAAGCCAATAAAAAGGCGTGGATGACGCAGGATTTGTTCACCAGCTGGCTTTGCAAGTTTGATGAAGATATGGTGGCAGAGAAGCGGCGGGTCGTGCTTATCCTCGACAACTGCTCGGCCCACAACGTCAAGCTGAAGTTGACCGCAGTCAGCCTAAAGTTTTTGCCTGCCAACGCTACAGCAAAAAGTCAACCTCTCGACCAGGGTGTCATCGCAACCGTAAAGGCGCTGTACAAAAAGCGCATTTGCGAGAGAGTTTTGCTGAGCATACAGCAGCAGCAGCCTCTTAAAGTGAACTTAAGAGGTGCAGTAGACATGGTGGTCGCTTCATGGTGGCAGGTAAAGGCCGATACCATAAGCAAGTGTTTCAAGAGGGCAGGCTTCGTGCGCAATGCAGAGGCTTTGGAAGACGATGAGCAGAGCGACACGTCGCTCGCCGATGAGACCCTCAACACTGACGACGTGTGGTCCTGCCTCGTTGACAGCAACTTTGTAACTGCCACCGACACTTTCCAAGAATTTGTCAATGCCGGGGAGTTGGAGCTTTCTGTCGGCGAGGAAGCGAGCACAGATGACGCGATCGTCGCAGTGGTGCGCGGTAGTGCGGAGGTTGCAACGGACGACGAGTCGGACGGCGAAGACGATGTCGACCCGATGCCAGAACCAGATTTCCCGTGCAAAGACGCATTGGAATACCTTGCAAAAGTGAAAACGTACTGCGCGAAAAACAGTTTGAGCGAGAAATCGCTTCAGTGCTTAAGCTTTGTGGAGGACGAAATTGTTCGCAGCGCTGTTCGCAAGCATCGCCAGACCAAAATAACGGCGTTCTTCCGCTGATGCCGGACTTGAGAACTTTGTTTCCGCGCGGTGTTGTGATTGCGTTGAATGTGTCTGCGAGTGAAAAGTGTTGTAAATTGCTTTTGAAAGGTGGGTTGCCCTTTTGACATAGGCAAAGGCCGAAAAAAGCATGCTTTGGTTATAACGCCGTACCGCTTATCGCGCGGATTTTTACAACTCCCGTGACTTACGTTATAAGCGCTCTACACTGTATTAGACTTCCGCATCTCCCCGTACAGATCAATAGATCCACTTTTATCATACTCATCGACACTAAGGCAGCTGTGTCATTGCTCAACGTCAAAGAATATAAGAGGAACTTTTCGCATATCAAGTTACTACCTTCGCCCCTTGTTCTACAGAATTACTCGAACCAAGTCATAAAAAATCATGGCTATCTCAAGGCAACAGTCTCGTACAACAGCAACTGCGCCACGATTCCTTTCTACGTCTTGGACAAAGACATCTCGCTCCTGGGATCAGATGCCATCCGAGCTCTGAAAATAATCATTAGAGGTGAGACCCTCACTTGTTCTCTCGTCGACTACTGGATGGTTCCGGAAAATGCGCCACCGGAGTATCAACACCTATTTTCGTCGGACATCGGCATCGTCCGGAATTACGTTCAACGTGTCAAGTGTCAACCTGGTGCGCAGCCAGTGGCGGCCAAACTGCGTCGTCTTCCCCTCTTGCTAAGGCAACAAGTTGCCGATGAGCTGCAACGACTAGAGTCGACGGGCATCATTGAGAGGGTGTATGCTTTGGACTGGGTCGTTGTCCGCAAGAAGGACAATTCCATCTGACTGTGCATCGATCTCCGTGAGCCGAACAAGGCCATTGTGGTGGACGGGTTCCCTCTACCTCACATCGAGGAACATTTACAACAGTTAACAGGTGCTAAAATTTTTTTCTAACTTGATCTTGCATCCGCATACCACCAGGTTGAGTTAGCAGAGGAGAGTCGTGATCTTACTACCTTTGTAACGCATTAAGGGTTTAACAGATTTCGCAAAGTGTGCTTTAGGCTGGCATCTGCACCCGCTATTTTCCAAAAAATGATGACCAATGTACTGAAGGGGTGCCCAGGTGTTGTCTGTTACTTAGATGACATTTTAGTTTGGGGCCGCAATCGGGAAGAGCATGATGTGCACTTGAAAGGTGTCTTGTCTAAAATTAATTCCTGTGGCATGAAGTGTATAATGACAAGTGTGTATTTGCTGCTACTTAAATTGCATTCTTAGGTCATAACATAAGTGCTCGCGGGTTATCGCCGGTTGAGTCTAAGGTCGCTGCCATACTTGATACCCCTGTTCCCACTGATGTTAAAAATCTCCAATCCTTGGCATTGGTTGGATATTACGCAAAGTTTCTACCACATTATGCTGATGTTGTTGAGCCTCTGCACCGCATGCTCCAGCAAGGTGAGTTTTAACTGGTCTGCTGAGGTCAATGCCAGTTTCAACCAGATTAAAAAACTCTTGCTGACCGCCCGGTCATAAATATTTTTGATAATCTTTCGGTGGTGGTTCCAATGTCGGCATCCAATGTCGGCATCAAAGCAGTGCTCCAACAACAAAGAGGAGATCAGCTGCTAGCTGTTGTTTTTGCATCTAAAACATTGTCCCCGGCGGAATGCCGGTATTCAGCAGGAGAGCATGAAGCTCTTGTTTATTTGTTTGCGGTGAAAAAATGGCTTGTGTATCTTTGTGGTCGGCATTTTAGATTACAAACTGACCACTAGGCTTTAACTACTTTGCTGTCAGCTGGCGCGGTGGGGTGACGCCCCTTGCGAGTTTTTTGATGGTGCGCCCGGCTGTTATATTAAAACTTTTCTGTACAATATTACAAAGGTGCCGATAATGTTGTAGCAGACGCGTTATCTCGGCTGCCAGCCCACCTTTCGCCAGCACAGGCGCCAGAAGAAGAGATAATTGCTTCAGTTGCTGCATGCTTAAATAAGGACGAGTTACAGGCAGCCACTGCTAATGATGGTACTTTCCAGCAGCTTATTCAATACATTGCTGAGGATTGGCCTCGAAAGAAGCCTTTGACTTCAGTACTTGTACCTTACTTTGCAGTGAAAGGCGAACTGTCTTATGCCGATGGGCTCATTTTCTGCAGGGAACATGTTACAGTTCCAGAGTCTTGCAGGGGGCAATTGATTCAGTTAGCCCATGAGAATCATCCAGGCATAATTCGTACAAAGCAGCTGCTTCGTGACAGGTATTGGTGGCTGTGCCTTGACAAACAAGTAAAAAGTGCGGTTCGGAACTGTTGCATCTGTTAGGCTGCCAACGAATCGGCGAAACCTGTCTTTGCACCCCTACAACCAATTTCTTTTCCTGACAAACTGTTAGGCAGTTAGGCATGGACATTAATGGTCCTCTTTCAAATATTTCTTCAGATTGTCTCTTTGCAGTCAGTTTGACGATTATTCCAAATGGCCTGAGGTTTGTTTTGTTCGAGACGATACGTCTGATGCAGTCATCACCTTCTTGACTTCAGTCTTTTGCCGTGAAGGCTTTCCAGCATACTTAGTGATAAACAACAGTCCCCAGTTTAGGTCTCGTCAGTTTGAAACCTTTCTTTGCGAAGGAGGTATTCAACACATCTGTTCTTCCAAGTACTATCTTTAAAGCCAATGGGCAGGTTGTGCCGTTCAACAGGGTCCTGAAAGAGTACATTCAACTAGCCCAACTAGAACAACATCCTCTAAAGAAGGCAATTACAGAGTACTTAGGCGCTTACCGTTTTTCTGCTCAGGCAACTACGGAATCGTCTGCCGCAATCTTGCTTCATAAGCGTCAACCTCGCACAGCGGTTGATGTGATTGATCTGCCGTTGCCTTCTACTTTGCAGTCAGTTTTGGACAATATCTTAAGGATGCGAGATTTTCATATGCAGGAGTACATGAAGAACTATGTGGATCAGAAATGATCGCCAAACCTCCAGTCATTCAGGTTGGCCAAAGAGTCAAAGTACGTGTTCCAGGTAAAAAACACAAGTATAGAGGTTCGTTTACCGTTACGTCGGGAGTGGGATCCCAGGCATTTATGCTCAGTGATGGATCGATTCGGAATGCTTCTAAACTTGTAATCGTCCGTTCCGAACGGGAACCATCTTTACACTTGCACTCTTCAACACCTTTGCAGAACCAGTCGCAATACTCTGCCTCGATTCCACCATTGGTTTCTATACCTATTCCTGCAGCATCACCATCTGTCCCTGGAAGAAACGGTATTCAGGCACCGGTTTCAAATCCAGCTGTGGTGCCCAGCCACCATATTTTACCGTGCACTGAGCACGCTTCAGAGCCCTCAGGTATTCAGGCACCGGTTTCAAATCCGGTTGTGGTGCCGAGCCACCATATTTTATTGTGTACTGAGCACGCTTCAGAGTCCTCGGGTATTCAGGCACCAATTTCAAATTCGGCTGTGGTGCCCAGTCACCATGAAGTTTTACCGTACACCGAGCATGCTTCAGAATCCTCGGACTCTTCGCAGGCTTCGTATCAATACTTGACTGACGAGCCTAGTTCCCATGCCAGTATCCTCCCTAAGACTGATGAACATGCTTCCGAACCTTCAGGTTCTCATGTTTTGCATCAGGGTTCTTCGTCCATAGCTACAGCTGAGGGAGGCTTAAGCGAATCATCAGACTCTTCAATGCTCTCAGAAGTGCCTGAGCAGCGCGTAAGCGAGCCAGTAGGCTCATCCTCACATACCGAACTTGCTGCTCGGCCAGGGAGTACTTCAGAGCGCAATGAGCTTCGGCGTTCGAAGCGTTCGCATTAGAAACCGTCCAGGTTTAAGGACTTCGTGTCCTAAATTCGTTCTTACTCGTATGTTGGAATCTCTACCATACGTGTGCATTGGTGTGTGTTTGCTGTAGATTTATTTATTGTAGAAAGTTATAAGGAATACACTGTTATGCTGTGATTTATTGTTGCATGTTGTCTGTATAAGTACTTTCCGTCATGGTGCGCTGTGTACATAGTTATGTTTTTTCTCTCCTTCTCATGCCGCTTCTCTGTTCTTCAATTGGTTACTTTACGACGAAAGGAGGGGAGATTTTAAGGTTTTATATACAGTTTTGTGTGTCATTACATTCTCCTAAAATTGTGTAAGGTTATAAAAGTTACTCAGGTTTCGTAAATCATTGTATAAAGATCTTAGAGCCACATTTCCTTTTCTTTCTTGGGGAGGATGATGTGGTGTTTCGGTTCCGATGTTGTGGTTGCCAGACTCGGTTTCATGTGAAGTGTTTTCGCCCTCAGAGGGCGCTACCCTGTGTGTATATGTGCGGTATTGTACAGAATAAACCAGTTCCTGCTTGGCTATCGGTACAGTGTATGTACTACCCGCTGCTGCGTACCTCCTTTCGGCCGGCGCTTCAGCGCCGTGGCCTGTGTGCTCTGTGCGGCGCGTCCGCCGCACGATACAACAATGCCTCCATAGAGTTTCCTAAAATTAACTCTATGCCATGCCCAGCCGGCGCGCTACGTGAAAAGTGGGGAGGAAATGACATCATGGCGGCCATCTTCACTGGGCACAATGGTGGCGTTGCTATGGTTACGTGTTGCACAGTGTAGCTGGTCTAACAGTGAGCGGCCGTGGCTGGCGGCAGCATATGTGCCTCCGCAAGTCTTGTGCTGAGCCGTGGCGGACAATATCCGTGCTCTGCGCCGCGTTATTGGTTACACAGTGTTCTGCTGGCAGTTACTGTACTCTTAGCAACGTTTACAAAACCTTTCATCCACCAAGCGGCCCGAACAGTGTGTAGAACGAGCGCATATTCACGTGTAGTGTGGCGGATAACGCGGATGATGTATTTGAAGTGTTCGGCGAGATTGCGTTGGGCACCATGACAAAGCGGAACGACGACGAACGCCTTGCAGGTCAGTTGCGGTTGAGTAGGGCTCCTGCGTGTGACAACGGACGAAACTGTTGTGCCCAGCAAGACTAAATCGGGACCACGGGCACATACGTAGTTTCGTGTTCAGTATGTGTACAGTAACAACTTGCATGTGCGTAATAAAACACCTTTCCTGTTCCGCTTGTTATACTCGCCCCCAGCATTGTAATCTCAACGTTAGAGAAACCGCGTTCAAGTGTCACTTGCACTGTGCTCAAAGTCGCCACGATCGCAGAAAGCTGACACCGGTGAGTTTCACGCGGAACACGGGCACAGTGGCCGGGCGTTCCGCTGGCCTCGCGTCGGAATGCAACCGTAGAAGAAGGCGCACAACCAATCGTGTTGTATGTACAGTTGCTGAATTAATGACGTGAAAACACTCAGTGTTGTCAGTGCATCTAGCGCGCGTTCTCTTGTACTTGAATCGTGGTCGGCGAGCCGTTACTCGCTGTTAATACTCGGACGAAATGATTTCGCCGTAGGTGTTCTGCTGGCCCAGAGTTTTGAGCCCCGTTTCTTTATTTTCAGATTGTGACAACACGTGTGCTGCGCAGCCCACGTGCTTTCCGAGCCGGAGAGAGAGTCGTGCCTTCTGCTTTACCTTCAGATGTAAACAAGAAATCAGAATTTGCCCAGTCAATATGGCCAACTTCCGGCTTCACCCCGGCTTCAAAACGAGTGACGTCAGGGCCTCTCAAGTTTTTTCTTCCTACATGGCGACGAAGAACAATGAAGCGCATTATTGTACTTGACACTGTGACCACCTACCTAAAGCCAATAAAAATTTGAGGACTATACTTAGTCTTAAAGAAATGTCAAACTATCTCCCAGAAAGAATAGATGCCAATGATTTTAGGAACATTATTACCATGATGATGATTAACATGGA